TGTTTGGTGATAAGTTATTCATCAGAAAAGCCAAAAATCCGCGTGCATGAAAAAGACAGAGAATTAAGCAGTAAAACAAAAAGAGAGGAAAAATGGAGGAGCGCAACAGAAATCCGACGCAGTGATGCGCTTTTTTGCTGAGTTTATAGTGGTACATAGTGAGCGAACTTGAATAAGTGAGTTTTTCACTCCGCCGTGATAATTTTTTGACTTATTCAAAAAGTGAAAAAAAAATCCCTCAGTGCTCTCTTTCAGTGAGAAGCGGTGGCATTCGAGAAGTAGTCCGAGTGGCAACAAATGCTAATAGCAACTATTCGCTGACAAAACTGCCCATTGGTGCCTTCTTAGAAAGTCGCTTATAAGCAAGTTGATGGCTGACTTGACTCCTTGGCTTATGCCAGCACTAATTTGCCATTGAAACCTAGGAAATAACTGCAGAGGGATTAGTTGTACCACTGACGTGTCGAACCTCCAACCTACAATACCAAATTTATCCGATGATAATATGCAGCTTAGTTGTAAGTGAAACCGTGCCTTGCCATCATTGCGACCTTATAGCAGGAAAAGAAAGTGAAGCAAGTGAAGAATTAAGTAGGATTTTTCGTCTTATGCTCGGGCAGCAAGAAATGTGCAAAAAATTTAAAATCTATAAACGGAATCAAACCGCATGGATGTTGCTAAATGCGGTGCATGCAAACTTGTAATATCGTTGAGTGGCAACAAATGCGGTATTGAATGAGGACAGGTAATGGCCCTCGGGGCATTGAAATGTTGTTATTGCTTCAGAACAGAGCGCCACACCGACTAAGCTCGCAGTGACTGTAGTAGCCAGTTGCCAGATTAGCATCATCCTGAAAAACAAATACATCTCTGTTGTCTGTTGAAGGCTGTCTGGGTCCCAATTTATCTAAAATTGGTAGAATGAGTAAAATGTTGGCTACTGCACACATTTTATCGCATGAGCAGCATCGCCCATTTATTTATGGAATTTTCCATATTCCATCAAGCAAGTGTCCATCTTTTCGGATACAAAAATTTCAGAAGGAACTGACTGATCCGTACGCCTAATAAAATAACTTGCAAGCCGCCGATTTAGGCATTGCTCCCGGTTTCGGGGGAATCACTTATTAAACTGAGAGTTACACTTAACATTTGCTGTTCCATTGGGAAACGAGTAAAGCATTTACGCAAAATTTTGCAATCAAACTATTGTAGTAACCTTTTACTTTCAGCAACGACAATTGGACGGCATGGTAGCTGAAGGTCATTGATTCCAGTTTAAGCATGCTCTCCAATTTTGTGTCCATCGTCGCATCACATCATCAAGCGCAATTATTATACTTCCAAACAATCTAAATCAAATACACAACACATACTTTGTAAGGTATTAATAATCGCTCTAAAAAGTAAAATAATTGAATGAGAGATAAAGGACCAGCCTAAATATCATGTGCAAGAATATTTGGACGCAGCCTACACTTCATCCTCAGCATCATGCGAGTTGGACTGGGAATCAGCAGCACAGCGTTTTGCCCGCCATTTATATGGTGAGCATGTGTCAGATTGCATAAAATTAAACTTGCAAAATTGATGAGTGAGAAGAGAAAAAGATGTGCAGATAGATAAAATAGGGAGAGCTAATTTTTAAAGGATAGTGAACCACTGAGTTTCAGATCTTGTTGTCTTCAAAGAAAATATATTTATTAGGAATTGTCCTGTTCCGAAAGCAGAACTTAAAAAACAGAGCATTCTTTTTTTGGTGTTTTCAAACTTTCTTAATTTATATTTGCTTATTAACCATTAAGCCCATTACGTAAATCTGAAATTAAGAATTACCATAGGGAAGGTGGTAAGCGCCATCAAATTAAAATGCAGCAAGCTCAAATTCTGTTTTTGGCTCCCTCTTGTTCTCATTCCTCTCCACTGCCGAATACTTATCTGTTAAGCTATTAACCAATATTTTATTGATAAAAATTGAGAAATAAAAGGTTAAAAGGACTTATCATATATTCATTGAGGCAAAAAAACTATCTGATTAAGGTGTTGGGCGCATCCACAGAAACACTTGTTTTCTAGAAAATCGAACTGATGAAAATATCGACAAATTATAGCTTGGAGGGAGGCCTTGCTCTATCAAGTAACATAGACGAGGAATTCTCAATTTTTACTGACAAATTCTACTTTTACGACAGTTACGAACTTGAAATGGACATAACCGCGAGGAATTCAAAGAAATGAAGCTCTGGTAAGAGGGCGGTGAGTGAAGAACGCTTGATCAGCGGCTAATCATGCAATCTTCACCCACTGTTCTCCTCCTACAGCTTACCGAACATGCACATGACGAACAAAAAAGTTTTTTTAGTTCGTATTACAGCATAAAAATCATTATTTTTTCCAAAAAATGTTCCCGATAATTAGAAAATTCAAGGACAACAACTGCGAACGTTGCGGCAAAATGGGACGTGATGAGGAAAATTTGATGTGAAAAAGAGGTGGACTGCTCAGCACTGAAGAGAATGATTGCACTAACAATACGCATATTGGAGGGGAGCGATGACAGATGAACAATGATAGTGATGATAACAATGTTAATGGAAATGATCATAAGATGACAATAAAATGTAAAATTGGATCGAATTCAACAGCACTGCATGTTCCCTCGCTACAAGAGAGAGGTGTGAATGGGATGACCTGCACACACACATTGTGACAATG